AAAAAAAAAAAAAAAAAAAAAAAAAAAAAAAAAAAAGTAGACAATACTATTACATTTCAGTAGCAGTAATAATAGTCCCTCATAAACAGTAAATGCTAAATAAATATTAATTTTCTAATTTTACAGATAAGAGAACTGAAGCAGGGATGGATTAAGTCACTTTTTTAAAGTGACATAGCCAGCCAGTCTTGGTGGCTCATGCCTATAATTCCAACACTTTTGGAGGCTGGAGTGAGTGGACTGCTTGAGCCTAGGAGTTTGAGAGCAGCCTGGGCAACATGGAAAAACCCTGCCTCTGCAAAAAAATTAGCCAGGCATGGCGGTACATGCCTAAATTCTCAGCTACCTGAGAGGCTGAGGTGGGAGGATCACCTGAGGCTGCTGTGGTTGAGGCCGCAGTGAGCCATGATCACACCACTGCAACTGCAGCCTGGGTGACAGAGTAAGATGAGAGAGAGAGCGAGAGAGCGAGAGAGAGAGAGAGACATGCTTAAGAAATGGCTGAGTTGGAATTTAAACTGTTTCAGTAACACCAAGATCTACGTAATTTCCACTCCACTGACTTGGAATAAAATTTCACCACCTAGATAGATGTATAGAAGCTTATTTCTTTTAAGAACAAAGCCTGGATTTTTATAGAAGCAGGTGCACTGATTGAGGACCCTCAATGGACAGCACCATTGCCCTGGGCACCACCATCTCTGGTGTCTTCACTCAAGCCTGGGTATCTACTTTCAGATAAGGAAGCTGAAGCTCCGCACATTTAAATCCTTTCTTGCAGGTTATAGCATGTGTGAGTAGCACAGCAGGAGTTTAAACACAGTTCTATCAGAGTCCCTTACTTGCTCTACCATAACACACCAAGAAATTCTGTCTTTTGTAAAAGATCTGCATCCAGTATATAAAATGCCACAGGAAGCATCTGTAATATGTGTGGGACTCAAATGTGGACTTGGAGACTGAATAAGTCTCAGCCTATATCCAAAGCAAAATGTAACTTTCTCTATAGCTACAGATCTTGAGACCTTTTGGATCTTAGAGGGAGCTAGAAAGGCATACATGTGACCTCCAGGGCCAGAAGACCATGGAGCCGTATTGCTGCCAAGTCAAATACCAGCACAAAGAATCACAAAGGAGTCCTGAGCATTTGAGGGACTTGCTTTGGTAACAAGTGCAACTAAGCATATATTTTACATTTCTTGGGCATGATGTCAAATTATATTTTCTAGGAGAGAAAAAGGATATGATAGAAAACCACCCTCTTTAATACAAAAATTAACTGGGCATGGCGGCACACGCCTATAATCCCAGCTACTCCGGAGGCTGAGGCTGGAGAATCACTTGAACCTGGGAGGCGAAGGTTGCAGTGAGCTGAGATTGTGCCACTGCACTCCAGCCTGGGCAATAGAGAGAGACTGTCAAAAGAAAGAAAGGAAGGAAAGAAAGAAAGAGAGAGAGAGAGAGAGAAAGAGGAAAGAAAGAAAGAAAAAGAGAAAGAAAGAAAGAAAGAAAGAAAGAAAGAAAGAAGGAAAGAAAGAAGGAAAGAAAATCACCCTCTTTGACAGAAGCTTTCCAAATTCTCACTGTATTTCATTTCAGTGGATATCGTTGTTAAAAATCAAAAGGCCAGGGTTCCAGAATTGATTTCCCTTTGCCAAACCTTAACTACACCAACAACCACAACAGTGATTGAGCATGAATTATGTGCCAGATACTGAGTTAATTTAAATCCTTGACAAATTAACAAGATAGAAACTATTATTATCCAATGTGGCAGAAAACAGAGGCAGAGAGAGGTTAAATCACTTGCCCAAAGTCATGGTTAGAGCATAGCAAAGCACAGACCCTCATCCGTGCCCTTAACCATCATATTATACTGCTGCTCTTCAAGCAAATTGGCTTCACAATTAGCCAAACAGTCTGCCAAGTGTCTATTTCTGACAGTGTTCTGTACCCTGAGTATTCAACAATAAACAAACCCTTCCCTTCAAAGCACTTATGTTCCATAGAGGGAGGGCAGGGAGGAGGAGGAAAGACAGGAAACAAATACTCAAATAAATCAAATGAAAAGAAGCTGGGCAAGGTGGCTCATGCCTGTAATCCCAGCACTTTGGGAGTCCGAGGTGGGTGAATCACCTGAGGACGGGAGTTGGAGACCAGCCCGACCAACATGGAGAAACCCCATCACTGCTAAAAATACAAAATAAACTGGGTGTGGTGGCGCATGCCTGTAATCCCAGCTATGCAGGAGGCTGAGGCAAGAGAATCCTCTGAACCCAGGAGGTGGAGGTTGCGGTGAGCCAAGATGGTGCCATTACACTCCAGCCTGGGAAACAAGAGCAAAACTCCATCATCTAAAAAAAAAAAAAAAAAAAGTAACATACTGTCTAAATGTGCTGAAGGAATTTAACTACTTGACACATAAGAAAACTTGGTCCGGCCGGGCGCGGTGGCTCAAGCCTGTAATCCCAGCACTTTGGGAGGCCGAGGTGGGTGGATCACGAGGTCAAGAGATCGAGACCATCCTGGTCAACATGGTGAAACCCCGCCTCTACTAAAAATACAAAAAATTAGCTGGGCATGGTGGTGCGTGCCTGTAATCCCAGCTACTCAGGAGGCTGAGGCAGGAGAATTGCCTGAACCCAGGAGGCGGAGGTTGCGGTGAGCTGAGATCGCGCCATTGCACTCCAGCCTGGGTAACAAGAGCGAAACTCCGTCTCAAAAAATAAATAAATAAATAAAACTGATAAATTCAGTGCTGGTCAGTAATGAGAGGAGCACTGTTAAACACAGGTGGAGAGAGAATAAACTGGAAAAATCTTTCTGAAGAGCAGTTTGGTAGTATGTATCAAAACCTTGAAAAGGTTCACAGTATTTTACCTAGTCTTTTTATTTCTTGGCAGGAACCCTAAGAAAATAATTTGAAATACAGCCAATCACTTCTGAATGAAGATGTTCGCTGCTTTGTTAATTATAGTGGTAAAAACCTGAAAAGAACTAAATGTTCATTAATGGAGGAATTATGGTATTATGGAGTATTATATTTAATGGAGTAGTATATAGCCATTAAAAATAATGTTAGCCAGGCACAGTGGCTCATGTCTGTCATCCCAACACTTTGAGAAGCCAAGGGGGGCAAATTGCTTGAGCCCAGGAGTTTGAGATTAGCTTGGGCAACATGGAAAAACCCTGTCTCTACAAAAAATAAAAAAAAATTAGCTAGGCATGGTGGCAACTGCCTGTAGTCCCAGCTCTTGGGAGACTGAGGTAGGAGGATCACCTGAGCCTGGGTGGTCAAGCTGCAGTGAGCTGTGATGACACTGCTGCATTCCAGCCTGGGCAACAGACTGAGACCCTGCCTCAAAAAAAAAAAAAGTTAGCAACAACAAAAAAACCCAAAACAAAACAAACAAATGATATGATATTAACAAAGCATTGTTATTAATAACAAATCAATTATTTTTGCTAAAGCCCCCTAAAAAACTATTTCTGCTGGGATTATGAAATTAAAAGGAAAAAGTGTTACTAATGTGTAAACATATTATGATCTTAGGCTTGTAAAAACAGAGAAAAGACAGGAAGAAGACAGAAAGTTGTCAATAACCTTAGTATAATAGGACTGTGGATGACTTTTGTCCACTCACTTGTGCTTTTCATTTTACAATGAACATAAATAACATTTGTAAAGAGAAAAACAGAAACAAACAAACAAAAGGCAAAAAGACAAGTCCACCTCCCACAGGTGGTTTAGTAACCTCTTCTCCGTCGTGATGTTCCTAAACTGCTTCCCCTATGATAAAACTGCCAGTGATGGAAACATGAAGATATGAGAAACAAAAACGAAACTAACAAACAAAAATCTTGCCGGTGAGACAAGTCAGGAACTTTGTACTTTTAGCTAAAGGAAACATACTAGGAGGATCCAGGTCAGTGTTTCTTAACTTTGGCACTACTGACATTTTAGACCAGGTAGTTCTTTCCTGCAGTGGCTGTCCTGGGCATAACAGGACAGATATACGGCACATCTGGCCTCTACTCCCAGAAGCCAGTAGCCTACACTACCCCAGCTGTGTTAACCCAAAATGTTTCCAGATATGGCCAAATGTCCCTCAGGGGGCACAATCACTCTTAATGGAGAACCACTGATTTATGTGACTTGGGTTCTAAACCTGGCTCAGTCACTGACTCCCCTGTGACTTTCTTTCTTTTTTTTTTTAAGTCTCACTTTGTCAGCCAGGCTGGAGTGCAGCGGTACGATCTTGGCTCACTGCAACCTCCGCCTCCTGGATTCAAGTGGTTCTCCTGCCTCAGCCTCCCGAGTAGCTGGGATTACAGGCACCTGCCACCACACCCAGCTAATTTTTGTATTTTTAGTAGAGGTGGAGTTTCACCATATTGGCCAGGCAGATCTGGAACTCCTGACCTCAAGTGATCCCACTGCCTCAGCCTCCCAAAATGCTGGGATTACAGGTATCAGCCACCACGCCCAGCCACTTGTGACTTTAGGAAAGTCACTTTCCCCTTAATAAACCTGAGTAGCCTACTTGGCATAGCTGTTCTCTGAAGTCCCTGCCAGCTTTGACATTTAACAAGTTGAAAGTTGTGTTACCAAAAATTTTTTTTTTTTTTTTTTTTTTTAAGACTGGGTTTCAGGCCGGGCGCAGTGGCTCAAGCCTGTAATCCCAGCACTTTGGGAGGCCGAGGCGGGTGGATCACAAGGTCAAGAGATCGAGACCATCCTGGTCAACACGGTGAAACCCCGTCTCTACTAAAAATACAAAAAATTAGCTGGGCATGGTGGCGCGTGCCTGTAATCCCAGCTACTCAGGAAGCTGAGGCAGGAGAATTGCCTGAACCTGGGAGGCGGAGGTTGCGGTGAGCCGAGATCGCGCCATTGCACTCCAGCCTGGGTAACAAGAGTGAAACTCCATCCCCAAAAAAAAAAAAGACTGGGTTTCACCATGTTGGTCAGGCTGGTCTTGGACTCCCGACCTCAGGTGATCTGCCCGCCTTAGCCTCCAAAGTGCTTGGATTACAGGCATGAGCCACCACACCCGGCCCCCCAAATTTTTTATTCTGTTGTTTTCAGATTATGCTACAAGTTAAAATTCCTATTTTCTTTTTTTTTTTTTTTTTTTTAGACGGGGTTTTTTTCTTTTTTCCCCGGGTGGAGGGCAATGGCGCGATCTCGGCTCACCGCAACCTCCGCCTCCCAGGTTCAGGCAATTCTCCTGCCCCAGCCTCCTGAGTCGCTGGGATTACAGGCACGCACCACCATGCCCAGCTCATTTTTTTTTTGTATTTTTAGTAGAGACGGGGTTTCACCATGTTGACCAGGATGGTCTCGATCTCTTGACCTCGTGATCCACCCGCCTCGGCCTCCCACAGTGCTGGGATTACAGGCTTGAGCCACCGCGCCCGGCCAAAATTCCTATTTTCTATAATGTCAGCAAAGTTAAATGGTAATCAGTATAATCCAAATGTACTGGAATTATAATTGGATTTATATATATATATGCATGAATGTTTATTTGCATGTATGTAAATAAAATAACTTTTGGCTACTTACCAGGATTCAGGACTTGTAGACAATTTCGATTTCCTGATTGGTTGGCACCTCCAAATACCCAGATACTGTCAGGTGTGCAGGAAGGAATGAAGCCAGCATGTTCATACCGGGGCAAGAGGCCCTTGCAGGTAACTAAGTCCCACTGGTGTTTTCCTGGAAAACATTTCACCCAGATCCTACATTGGGGCTGCCAATGGTCACACTGGTTGGCATACTTGGGGAGGGTCATGAGAAGAGGGCCATAAGTATAAATGAAAACCACTGAATCGCTTAAAGGGCATGTTGTCAACCTCCAGAAAGTTCTATTGTAGATACTTAGGGGACTGTCTACCTAGTCTATAGACCCTCTTCTGTGGAGACTGTCCCCGCTTTCTCAACCACAAGGGTAGATCCTAGGTCACATGGACGTACTACACTTTGACTTTGTAGCTTTAGCTGATTGGGTTGAAGGTAGCCACTGAAACCAGTATGGGCCAATCAGATCAACTGCTTCCACTTTCTCATGATCCTGAGCTGTACTTCCTGACCTTGAATTATTTGAAACACATCTGTATTTGAATAAATAAATGCCTCCTTTTGTCTCTGGTTTAAGTGGAATTCTGTTACTTGCAAATAAATGATGGCTGGCTAAAACTAGTTCACAGAATATACTCAGCCTTCATTATTAATACTTATTTTAACTGGTTAACCAATTACATAGGACATTCGTAGGCATTATCTTGTTAGATCTGAAACAAGTTATTATCCCTACTTTATAGGACACTGAGGTCCAGATGGTTGAGATGGTGTAGCTAGGGACATAAAGCTATTAATAGGTTGCAATAAAGATGTAAGTGAACAATTTAATGTACTTGAGGGCTGAAAGTGATTTAATTTACCTTTGATTTTTTTCTTTTTTTTTTTTTTTTTTTTTTT